CAGTACTGACCCCTGGGGGACACCACTAGTTAGCGGCCTCCAACTAGACTCAGCACCGCTGACGACAACCCTCCGAGTTCTGCCATTCAGCCAGTTCTCAATCCACCACATCAACCACTCATGCAGCCCACACTTCCTGAGCTTCCCTAGGAGGATGTTATGGGAGACAGTGTCCAAAGCCTTGCTGAAGTCAAGGTAGACAACATCCACGGCTCTCCCTTCGTCTACCCAGCCAGTCATGACATCGTAGAAAGCTATCAGATTGGTCAGGCATGATTTCCCCTTGGTGAATCCATGCTGACTACTCCTGATAACCTTCTTTTCCTCCACTTGCTTGATGATGACCTCCAGGATAAGCTGCTCCATCACCTTTCCTGGGATGGAGGTGAGGCTGACTGGCCTTTTCCAAGGGAGGGAAGGCATGCATCAACAACCAATAGCTGGGATTACTTTCAGTTAACCACTAAGTAATTGTCTCACTACTTCAGCATCTCTCAAATATGTAACTGTTTCTAAGCGCAATCAAAGCAACTATTTCTCCTTAATTCAATGTGATATTTGTAGACAAAACAAAACTGAGAGGAGTGGCTGATAGACCAGAGAGTTATGCTGACATCCAGAGGGACCTTGATAGACTCAAGAAATGGGCTGACAGGAACCTCCTGAACCTCAACATGGCAAGTGCAAAGTCCTGCACCTGGGCACGAACAACCCCAGGCATACGAGGTACACGATGGGGGCTGAAGGCTGGAAAGCAACTTTGCAGAAAAGGCCTTTGGGTGTTTGGGGCAACACCAAGTTGAACACATGCCAGCAACGTATCTGCGCAGCAGAAGTGACTAGCGGTGTCCTGGGCTGCACTGAGAAGAATGCTGCCAGCAGGTTAAGGGAGGTGATCCTCTCCTTTTATTCAGCACTGCTGTGGCCACACCTGGAGTGCTATCTCCAGTACAAGAGAGATACAGAGCTACTGGAACAGAGTCCAGCAAAAAGCCACTAAGGGGCTGGAGCATCTCTCATGAAAGAAGGCTGAGCAAGCTGGCATGGTTCAGCCTAGAGAAGAGCAGGCTGTTATCTACGTGTATAAACACCTAGTGCAATGGAGCGAAGAGGAAGACAGGCTTTTTTCAGTGGTGTCAAGTGACAAGACAAAGGGCCATGGGCACAAACTGGAACACAGGAAATTCCATCTGAACATCAGGAAACTCTTACTGTGAAGGTGGTCAAACGCTGGAAGACATAGCTCAGAAAGGCTGCAGAGTCTCCATCCTTGGAGATACTCAAAGCCCAACAAGACACAGCGCTGGTCAACCTGCTCTAGCTGACACTCCTTGAGCACTGCGGTTGGGCTACATGTTCTCAAGAGGTCCCTTCCAACCTCAGCGTGTCTGTGATTCTGTGATCTTATCCTTGTGTGGATATAAAGAAGGCAGGGCCAGACTCTTCCCAGAGGCAGTATAAGTGGCAACAGGCACAAACCAAAATACATTAAATTCTCCTTAAACATAGTAAATAACTTTGCACGAGAGTGATTGAATACTGCAACAGGTTGCCCAGAGAAGTTGTGGAGTGTCCAATCTCAGAGATATTAAAATGCCAGTTTGACACTGCCCGAGCAATCCATTGCAGCTGAGTCTGCTTTGTGCAGGGAGACTGGACCAGATGATCTTCAAAGGTCCCTTCCAACCTCCACAGTGCTCTGATTCCAAGCTATTCCTACCTGCTGCTGTAAGTTGAACACTGCAGCTGCACAGCTAAACACACAAATCCAAAGCTACAGTTACAAATTAATTCTGCCAACTCATGTATATGCACAGTGCCAGATATCACCTACATCACCTTCCACTACATCACAGATGAAGCCTGTTTCCAAAAGCATTTATATAAATTGATTTACCAATTAGCTTAATCAGTTTCTACATAAACTTATTAAATGAAACCATTCACACAGAAAGCCAGTTTCAAAAGGAAATCTAGTATCAGCCTTCCTATCCTAGTTACATCTATTCGCACAAAATATACGCAAGCATAGTGCC